GAATACAATGAAATGTGATTTAGCAACTTGAAAAGCCATTTTCATAACAGCGGCCATAATTACTTTGACTGAGCCCCCATGGCCTCTGAGACGCCAAGCTAGGGGGGAAAAAATACCCTACAAATCTTCCTAGTTGTCATTGCGTTTGCTGTCTTAATGTTGAGAGGCAGGAAAATTGCATTGAAAGGCAAGTTCTCCTTTGGGTAATCTTTGCAGAGCTACCGGGAGGGCTGTGGTCGAATCAAGAGGCCACTCTTGATAGGACTTTGGCCAAGATCAAAATGAAATTCAAGGTAGAGAAAAGTAAAGTCTTAGGCAAGAAAAACCCAAAATACGCACAGAGACTGGGTGAAACCAGGCTTAATAGCAGGAACTGTGACAGGGATCTGGAAGTCTTAGTGGACAACCGAAGAGCAACCAGGATGATGAGGGGATTGGAGGCTCAAACATACGATGAACGGTTGCAGGAACTGGGCATGGCTGGTCTAGTGAAGAGAAGGACCAGGGGAGACAGGAGAGCATCTTCCAATATTTGAGGGGCTGCCACAGAGAGGAGGAAGGGGGTCAAGCTATTTTCTAAAGCACCTGAAGGTCGGACAAGGAATAATGGATGGAAACTGATCAAGGAGAGATTCAACCTGGAAATGAGGAGGAACTTTCTGACAGTGAGAACCATCAACCCATGGAACAGAAGCTGCCTTTGGAAGTTGTGGGAGCTTCATCCCTGGAAGCTTTCAAGAAGAGATTGGACTGCCATCTGTCAGAAATAATGTAGGGTCTCCTGCTTGAGTGGGGGGTTGGACTAGATGACCTACAAAGTCCCTTCCAACTCTGTTAATCTAAATATCTGTCTGATAAAGGTCCTTACATCAGAAAACTCCACTGCTCTACCAGAGTCATTTCTCCAACCTTCTCTCCACAACTCATCTTCAAGAAAGCTTCAAGACTCTGGCCTTCTCTCAACTTGTTTTGTAAATTTTATTATTCCACAGGTTATCTGTGGAAAAGGAAGGAGTCTTAGGAAGTCTTAAGAAGCCCATTCTGCATCTTTCTTGCTGCTTGACTGTTCCAAGAATTCCTAAATACCTTCCTCAGCATTTTGCCCTTTTGATAGACAAGATGTTGTGTCTACCACCTTGTTGTGATCTTAGGGTGGAGTCCACAAGACTCTAGTTGAAAATGCATAAGAGCTTCTGGGAAGGTTGCCCCAAATACCTCCTCATTCAAGGAATGAAGATCCAGAACTGATTTATTAAATTCTCATTAAACCGCAAGGCTGTTTTGATGATGGATTATTTAATTGATAGCTTCTTGCTTATTAAAAAGGCAGATCCATGAAAAGAGAAGGAGAGGGGATGACATGGATGAAAATATAACACAGTAAAAAAAATTGGAACTGTTTTTATAGTGTGGGCAATGTTGTCCTCTTAATTTTTATTTGTTTGAGCATCTCTTCAAGGATTTAAAAGATAAAGGTTCCCCTCGCACATATGTGCTAGTTGTTCCCAACTCTAGGGGGCGGTGCTCATCTCCGTTTCAAAGCCGAAGAGCCAGCGCTGGTCATGTGGCGGCATGACTCAACGCCAAAGGTGCATGGAACGCTGTTCCCACCAAAGATGGTCCCTATTTTTTCTACTTGCATTTTTTACGTGCTTTCAAACTGCTAGGTTGGCAGAAGCTGGGACAAGGAACGGGAGCTCACCCCGTTACGCGGCACTTGGGATTCGAACCGCTGAACTGCCGACCTTTCGATCGACAAGCTCAGCGTCTTAGCCACTGAACAACCGCATCCCTCTTTAAGGATTTAGCTTCCCTCAAATGTTCTGCAGTATTTCATGGAACCAAGTTTACGTAGGTTTACTATAAAAAACTTGAAAACAAAAACTTCAGGCTACTAAATTTGACAAGAAAGGCAGTGTTTTAATTCTCTTGTTTTCAGAAGACCAGATCATGTTTTTCTTAAAAAAGGGGGAACCCCTGCCTTGCTGAAAACTGCCAATAAAATCCTACGACCAACCATTCCTGGTTCTGTTTGTTTCAATTTTACCAGGTAGCTTCTGTGGCTCTCCTGGAGAGGTGCGGACGTGTGTTCTCAGCCGGCCTTGCTCCCACCACCTTCGTCCTCTTACGCCTGCTTGATTCTTCTAACTGGGTTTTAATTAACCAGCCCGCACGAACGGTGAGCTGAAGCTGTAGGAAACTTGGACCAGAGCTTTGCCCTACTCCGAACAATTGCCTCAGACGGCTGGAGGTCGGCAAACCTCTTTGATCAGAGTTGTCAGTCAGTTCCTCCTTATGTTGTACAGCTGCAGCCCAAACCTCACTCCTTCCACGTTCAAGAAATCATGTTGAACTAATAAGCGATGCTTTCACCAGCCCTGAAACTTTGGTCCCATTTTCTCCAGACCGAATGACCCATGGATTAAATTATCCTACTTCAGACACATCCTCATCATCATCTTTTAAAGACCCCATAATCCCTTGCAGGAGTCTTGGGCAACTGAACGAGTTGCGGAGCGGAGTGTTTACTGGCCGGATGCCCTTCCTGTCACCAACGCGGAGTTTTGTCCAGCAGATATATTCTCATTGTGCCCAGAGAGAGAAATATCTGCCTCTACCTAGGATCAAACTCAAAGTTTCCTGAATGTGAGTCGAGAGCTCCACCTCTACCTCTAGGCCACCGCACCACATCCTACTTCAGACACATGCTAAGACCAGGGGTGAAATCCAGCAGGTTCTGACAGGTTCTGGAGAACCGGTAGCAGAAATTTTGAGTAGTTCGGAGAACCAGCAAATACCACCTCTGGCTGGTCCCAGAGTGGGATGGGAATGGGGATTTTGCAATATCCTTTCCCTGCCACACCCACCAAGCCACGCCCACAGAACCAGTAGTAAAAAAATGGGATTTCACCACTGGCTAAGACCCAAATCTTTGAAGAAGGCCTAAGATGGGAAAGAGAAGATGAGAATGACCACAAAACTGATGGATTCAGTTACAAAGACAACTGGGACCCTGTTGGAAGGCCTGAAAGGTTAAGAGACCAGAGAGTGTCCTAGAGAAAATTGTCCAGATGGTCCACCAATGAGTCCAACAACATCCAAGTTGGAGTCCACATCCATCCCATCCATCCATCCATCCATCCATCCATCCATCCATCCATCCATCCATCCAAATAACAGAGTTGGAAGGGACTTTGAGGTCATCTATTCCAACCCCTTGCTCAAGCAGGAGACCCTATAACATTTCAGACAAGTGGCTGTCCAGCCTTTTAAAAACCTCCCGTGATGGAGCCACTCACAGCTTCTGGAAGCAAGCCCTTCCACAGAGTAATTGTTAATTCCACTGATTAATTGCCTCTCTTACAATTTGTCTCTCACAAATTTCTCGCAAATTTCTCCCAGGTAACTTTAGCAATGTTTACTAAGAAGAACGGGTTTCTCCCCCCCATCAAGCTACGTATATTTTGGAGGGACCTAATATGATTGCTTCCTTCACAGCCTAAAGTATAGTGTAAATGTTAACTTCTACATGCACTGGGAAACCAAAAAAAAATATATATCATGTGACTCATTTATTGCGGTGGTCTGGAACTGATTCCGCAATATTTCCGAGGTATGCCTGTAACCTTTCCAGATACCTTGGGTGGAGAAATGCCTGTGGCAGATATTATTTTCCTTCTCCACGGCGAGAGAGAGAGAGAGAGAGAGAAAATTTCTCCTTTCTCTGGTGCTTCTCCAGAGCTCTTTCCAAAATGACACCATCACATCTAACAAAGAACCTCAAGATTATTTCAGAATTAACCCAGCACCACCAGGATCGATGGCACCTACTAAGGAGAGGTCTCATTTGGATCTCATTTGGAGAAGGTGTTAGCTTAACATGGGACCCTTGAGAAGACCTCCACAGAGGAGGAAGAGATGGAAATGGGGTTAAGTGGAGAAACACCACTTAGGCTTATGACAAATTTTGAGTACTGAAAAATAATATCCTTGTGGGTCTCACACCCAGGAGATTCTCAACATTGGCAGAGGTAGAATTCCTTCCTTCCTTCCTTCCTTCCTTCCTTCCTTCCTTCCTTCCTTCCTTCCTTCCTTCCTTCCTTCCTTCCTTCCTTCCCTCCCTCCCTCCCTCCCTCCTCTCTCCCTCCTTCCTTCCTTCTTTCCATCCTTCCTCCCTCCTCCCCTCCTTCCTTCCTTCTTTCCCTCCCTCCCCTTCCTTCCCTCCTTCCCTCTCTCCCTCCCTTCCTCCCTTTTTCCCTTCTTCCCTCCTTCCTTCTTTTTTCCCTCCCGTCTTTCTTCCTACTTTCCTCCCTCTCTCCCTCCCTCCCTTTTTTCCTTCCTTCCTTCCTTCCTTCCTCCCTCCCTCCCTCCCTCCCTCCCTCCCTTCCTTCCTTCACATACCTAATCCTCCTTCCTTCTTCTATTTTCCCCACAACAACCCTGTGAGACAGGTTAGACTGAGAGAGATGGATTGTCCAAGATCACCCAGCGGCTTTCGTGCCCAAGACAAGACTAGACGTCTCAGTTTTTCGTTTGGAGCCTTCATCACTAGGCCAGTCTCAGTCAGGATACCTTGTTTGAATCTGGTCTCAGAGCTGCAATAAATGAATTTGAATGAATGATACTAAAACAAACACACCCAGTTCAACACAAGCACGTTAGCATTAAGAATGCCTAAGCCTAGGAAGCAACTTTTGGGGTAGAAAATGGTATATAACTAGAGAAGGAGTTTGGATTAGAAGACCTCCAAGGTCCCTTCAAACTCTGGAAGGGACCTTAGAGGTCTTCTAGTCCAAACCCCTTCTCTCCTATTCTGTATTCTGAACAACCTGGTAAGCCCAAACACATCTCCTCACACCTGCCTGGACCTCTTTTGGGTTTCCTTGAAGATTTTGGGAACGTTCTTGCCTGCAAGGGCCGCCAGGTGGCAGTGGGAGCATCGTGGAAGCTCTTAAATTTCCCCTGCCTTCTGACAGCTTCGCCTCATTTTTCCCCACACGGCAGGCAGCAACCGACTAGCTGGACCCAGAAGTGCCGAGAGAAAGAAGGAAGGAAGGAAGGAAGATTGCATGATTCTGTAGGACCTACCCTGATCTCGGCTAGAGGGCAGCTCCCTCGGTCTCCCATCCTCCAGATGTGATTCTTTGGGACTCTGAAGAAGTTTCAGAAAGTAGCAAGGTAAAAAAGGAAAGGAGAAGAGAGGAGCTGGCTGCTTTTCCAGAGATGACCTGGTAGGACTGAGGACCTGGAAGGATTCCCCCCCCCCCTTCGCTTGGCCTCCCACCAGGTATTGTAGCCCAGAGGCCATCCTTTCTGAAGTCTGGGCTTTGGGGAGGGGGCAGCATTTGGCTTGATTAGACAGAAATGGGAGTCGGAGGAGACTTTCCCACCACGCTAGCAAGGGTTGAAAAAAGCCTTCCGAAGGGCAAGCAGGAGCCGCTCGGGAGGCAGGTCCTTTGCGATAAAAGGGTTTGTGTGGGTGTCCAGTCAGCACAGTGAGGGACGTGGGGTTGTTGCTGCTTTCACAGCCTGAGCTTCGTTTCTCTTGCGGATGCCAAGGTGACCTGCTGCGAAATCTTGAGTGTGTTTCCATTGCATGCAAGGGACGTTACTTCCCAAGGAGCAAGCGCCAACGTATGGGTTGTGGTCCAATTACACACCCTGGGTGTCTGTGTGCCAGGGCACTGATGCCAGTTTAGGACACCTGCTGGGCAGTTCTAAGATCCTAAACAATCCTCTTCTCTTCTCTTCTCTTCTCTTCTCTTCTCTTCTCTTCTCTTCTCTTCTCTTCTCTTCTCTTCTCTTCTCTTCTCTTCTCTTCTCTTCTCTTCTCTCCTCTCCTCTCCTCTCCTCTCCTCTCCTCTCCTCTCCTTCTCTCCTCTCCTCTCCTCTCCTCTCTCTCCCTGTCCTTCCCTGTCCCTTCCCTTCCCTTCCCTTCCCTTCCCTTCCCTTTCCTTTCCTTTCCTTTCCTTTCCTTTCCTTTCCTTTCCTTTCCTTTCCTTTCCTTTCCTTTCCTTTCCTTTCCTTCCCTTCCCTTTCCCTTCCCTCTTTCCCTTCCCTCTTTCCTCTTTCCTCTTCCTTCTTCCCTCTTCCCTCTTCCCTCTTCCCTCTTCTCTCCTCTCTCTTCTCTCTTCTCCACTCTTCTCTCTTCTCTCTTCCCTCCTCTCTCTTCTCTCTTCTGAAGCACCCAGGTCTGTGCACCTTCCTTCTTTCTCCTCCTCCTCCTCCTCTTGTGGGGATTTTCTGTCTTTCTGCAAAAGTTCCCTTCGCCCCCAGCAGTTAGAAGCTTTGCAGCCAGAGCAAGTCAGGGAAATATATATATGTGTGTGTGTGTGTCAGGTAGGGAGGGAGCAAAGTAGAGGAATCCGTCTTCCCTTTGGCACAGTTCCACAGTTAGCTCTGGAGAATCTGTCTTAGAGACAGGGATGGTGGGGGGGGGGGGAGCCAGTTCCAGACAGCAGACAACTATCATTTCTTCTGCATTTTAACAACACAGTACAAAATCATTGGCGTTTGCTCTTCCCGGGCTAAAGATACAGGAGGAGTTTGCAGCAAGTGTTGGCGATGGCTGTTGGGAATTAGTCTGGAGCCTTCTCCGTAGAGTCAACCGGAGTTGAACTTCCATGAAAACTTTTTTCTCCTTTTTTTTTTTTGCCAAGATTTGTATTTTCTATGTTATGGCATTTTCTCCCACCCCGGTCAGAAAAGATGCTCAGGATATGTGGCACAACGACCTTGTGAGGTAGGTTAGCTAAGAAAGGGCAACTTAGCTTGAGTTCCTTTGAAGTGTGGGGCTCAGATGAGAATCTAGCCTGGTTTTTGGGATGGGTTTCAAACAGCTTTGAAGGTTGATTCTCCACTGCTGTGGTTGAGGGACAATTATGGCATTTTTATTAAAGTGAATGGGGGGAAAATCTGCCTCCCCCCATGCTCTCTTCCAGACCGTGCGTGCTGTTGTGGAAACAGGGCAGCCTAAAATCGTGTTTTAGTCATGCAGCAAGAGGGAGAAACCCATTTGCCTACAGGGGTAACAAAACAAAAGAGGATAATATGATCGCTGCAGATTGTTGGGGGGTTGAAATGGAAACCAACACAAAAATGCTCTTGTTGCTGGAATTCTGTCCAAACAACAGCTGAAAATGGGCATTTTAATCCTTGCTAAGAATCTCTAAACACAACCACACCTATTTTGCAAAATTCCTTTGAAATGGTGCCCTGGTTAGTTAGATATGTTTCATGCAAAAGAGAGAGGGAGGGAGGGAGGAAAAAGAGAAGAAAGAAAGAAAGAGAGAGAGAGAAAGAGAGAAAGGAAGAACAGAAAGAGAGAGGAAGGAAGAGAGAGAAAGAGAGAAAGGGAAAGAGAAGAAAGAAAGAGAAAGAAAGAAAGAGAGAGAGAAAGGAAGGAAGAGAAAGAAAGAAAAAGAGAGAAAGGAAGGAAGACAAAGAAAGAAAGAGAGAGAGAAAGAAAGAAAGAAAAAAGAGAGGAAGGAAGGAAGGAAGAAAGATAAATAGATAGATAGATAGATGGATGCTTGGATTTTTTTAGACAATATTTTTTTCTTAGTATGTACTTCTCTAGGAAGGGAAAGCTCAGCTGGATGTCAGCCTAGGAGGATTCACACACACTGGGGAACCCACTGGAGAATTAATGGGGTTTTGGCCTGTTGAGGGTTAAATGGCGGTTTGTGAGCTTCTGGAGTAGCTTGTGATGCAAACCTGTGAATCATGGTTTATGCTAAATCCTTGCTTGAGCCCTGAACAGCTTAAAGCAATGCACGAGCCAGGTATAGTTAGTCCTTGACTTACAACAGTTCAGTGAGTGACTGTTCAGAGTTGCAAAGGCGCTGAAAATAGTGACTTACGACCATTTTTCACACTTACGACCATTCCTGCATCTTCACGGTCACTTAATTGTGGTGGTAAATTGAGGACTACCTGTATATCTCTCTCCGTGTGTCAGAGAGAACATCGAAAAGAAATTCGGTTCCTGAGCCGATGAGAAACAATCATGGCGTTAAATGGGTTCTCGTCACGATTTCGTTCCTTCCTTTCTGCTTTTTATCCAACCTTCGTTTTTCGTTCTCCCAGCCATCTGTAGTTCCCATTGTTTTCTCCAGCTGCCTGACTCTCAGGTTAACCTCACCTGGGCAACTTGGGGGTGTAGAGGACACCTGGAGTCTCATATATCACATGAGGCTGATCCGGCGGGATTTAATGAGTCTGGAGAAACCTTACAAGGTCCTGATCTGGAGTATTTCTCTCTCTCTCTCTCTCTCTCTCTCTTTCTCTCTCTCTCTCTCTCTCTCTCTCTCTCTTTCTCTCTCTCTCTCTCTCTCTCTGTGTGTGTGTGTGTGTGTGTGTGTCCGGTTGTCAAATATCCAAATTTTGTTCATGTAATCACAGAGAAGCTGTGACAGTTGCTAAGTGTGAGGATTGGTTGTAAGCCAATTTTTTTTCAGTGAGGTTGGAACTTCAAACGGTGGCCAAACGAATGCTTTGTAAGTCAGGGGCTCCCCTATGCTCCAAAAGCCAAGAGGACCCAGATGATGAACTAGGGAGGGTCTCAGCCATCCAGGTCATGGTGCTTTTTCAGGAGGCAACTGGACTCCCTTGTTTTTGTCTTTGAAGACATTTCGCTTCTCATCCAAGAAGCTTCTTCAGCTCCTCACCATCCAGCCAGAGCTGAAGAAGCTTCTTGGATGAGAAGCGAAACGTCTTCAAAGAGAAAACCAGAAAGTCCAGTTGCCTCCTGAAAAAAAAAAGCACCTTTGAGATTATAAACTAATGTTTTGGATCACAAGTGTGACTTCTGGGTAGGTGTGATAACCACTCCTTGTGTGTTTAGTCCTTTTCCCTCGACTGCACAACTGTTGGAAGGGACTGTGGGGATCACGTGATCTCTTTCTTCTCAGCAGGGGCCTTCAAGATCAAGCAGGAGACCTACTCCTGCTTACTTTTATTACTTCAGGTAGAGCTAGAAAACTGAAAAGAGCCAGTGGAGATGACTATTATCCTCACTGTTAATCAAAACACGGCAGATTCTTCCCAAGGAGGTGGGAGAGAGCAAAGAGTTGCAACTAGGATGAAGGAAGGAGTGGCCTCATCTCTACATGGGGTTGAGCTATCAGGGGTCTATGAAAAGTCCTTTGAAATGGGCACCTTGGCTCATCACATCAGGGTTGGGGAGACTCTATGGAAGGATGAGCCGTTCGCCACATGGTTGGTTCAGGAATTCTGGGAGTTGAAGTCTACATAAGAGAATAACTGAGTTGGAAGGGACCCCGGAGGTTTCTAGTCCAACCCCTTGCTCAGGCAGGAGACCCTATACCATTCCACACGAATGACTGTCCAATCTCTTCTTCAAACTTCCAGTGTTGGGCCATTCACAAGTTCTGGAGGCAAGTTGTTCCACTGATTCATTGCTCTAACTGTCAGGAAATGTCTCTGGGTTGTTTCTCTCCTTGAATAGTTTCCATCTGTCACTTCTTGTTGTGCCTTCTGGGGCTTTGGAGAACAGCTTGACTCCCTCTTTTTTGGGGCAGCCCCTGAGATCCTGGAAGACTGCTATCACGTCTCCCCTAGTCCTTCTTTTCATACCCAAACTAGACATACCCAATTCTTGCAACCGTTCTTCATATGTTTTAGCCTCCAGTCCCTTAATCCTCTTTGCTGCTCTTCTCTGCACTCTTTCTGGAGTCTCCACATCTTTTTTACATCATGGCGACCAAAACTGGATGCCATATTCCAAGTGTGGCCTTACCAAGGCATGATAAAGTGGTATTAACACTTCACGTGATCTTGATTCTTCTTCTTTTTCTTCTGCCATATCCGTCATCGGACGTCGGTGATCATGTTGGCCATCCTATTTTTGTCAACAGCCGTATGAAAAAGTGCTGCTGAGTTTTGTCCAAACCAGTCCCTTCGGTTTTGAAGCCATGATGTTCTTCTGCCTGGACCTCGTTTGCCTTCAATCTTTCCCTGGAGGTTTAGGTGAAGGATGCTGTATTTTTCTGGGTGTCACATCACATGTCCAAAATAGTCTACCTTTCGCTTTTTAATGGTTTTGATGATTTCCCTTTGCTTTCCCAGGTGGCTTCTCACTTCCTTATTTGTGATTTTGTTAACCCAGCTTAGACCTCACAGTCGTCTGTAAAATCCACATTTCAAATGCTTCTAGTTCCTTCAAATTTGACCTTGATTCTATCCCTCTGTTAATTCAGCCTAGGACACGCTCAGGAATTCTGGGAGTTGAAGTCTACATGATCAGGAATTCTGGGAGTTGAAGTCTACATGATCAGGAATTCTGGGAGTTGAAGTCTACATGATCAGGAATTCTAAACTCTAGATCAGTGTTTCTCAACCTTGGAAGCTTGAAGATGGGTGGACTTCAATTCCCAGAATCCCCCAGCCAGCAGTGCTGGGAGTTGAAGTCCACCCATCTTCAAGCTACCAAGGTTGAGAAACACTGATCTAGATGCTCAAGAATTCTGGGAGTTGAAGTCCATGGGTCCATATAAATTGGAAATTAATAATAATAATAATAATAATAATAATAATAATAATAATAATAATAATAATAATAATAAAATTACCATAGCTGGCTTTAACTCACCCTTCCCAGAGCCAAACCGTGATTGAGACATCTTCCTGGGTACGGCTAGATATCCACTTTCCCCGTCTCCATGGAAGAACAACATAAAAGGATGCGTTTGTGTGTGAAACACCCCAGCAAACGTCGTTACGAAGCACGCCATTCATTCAAAACGGCACACCCAGCCTCTGAACCCATCCAGCCATCACGCAAGCTGTTAAAAACCTGGCTCCTATTATACGCGTGATCAGACCTTTTTTTTTTTTAAACCTCATTGAAACTCTTTGAAAAGAAACACAATTTTGATTGCTGGGTGCAGTTGCATTCTCTGGTGGGTTTTGCTCCGTGTGAGTTAATCAGCTGGATGAACCCCCCCCTCTTCACGGAGCAAAGTTTTGATCCAGAGGGTGGAAGGATATAGGAGGAATGGGAAGAAACTGGATTAATGATTGCACAATGCCACTGTGTACATATATTTTACGAGTTTGGAGCTCTGAATTGGCCCGACTGGAAGGTTAGAGAAAGTTGAGTTCCAACTTTCAGGAAGAAGGAAACAATTATCCAGCAAGAGCAAGAGAATGGAAGATTGTTAGTTATTTATTAGATGCATATCCTGCCTTTCTTTCGTGCAGCCTCCAGGCAGCGGTGAGTTTCGGTTTTAATTCGCATTGAAACATCATCTTGTTGCATCTCAGAGGATTGCTTTAATTTCTGGCAGGAGTGTAAAATTTCCTTCCTTAATTCCCCCGCCGCCACCAGAATGTAGGGATTGATCTTTCAAACATGCTGACGTAATTCTGGATTTGGAGCAGCAGCATCTGCTGGGGGAGGGTCAAAAAAGGTAGGAGGGCTGATGAGATGTCCTGATGTCCCATTTCTTTCATAGACCTTTTATAGGTCTAATGTCCTGCTTGCCTGCCTACCTATCTCCCTCCCTCCCTCCCTCTCATATCCATCCATCCATCTATCCATCCATCCATCCTCTGTCTGTCTATCTATCTGGCTATCCACTCATCCACCCATCATCCGTCTGTCTGTCTGTCTGTCTGTCTGTCTATCTATCTATCTATCTATCTATCTATCTATCTATCTATCTACCTACCTACCTACCTACTTACTTACCTACCTACATCTATCTATCTATCTATCTATCTATCTATCTATCTATCTATCTATCTATCTATCTATATTGGATGCTGGCTTGGATCAAGCAGGAGATCAATCCTGGAATGATTGTCTGTCTGTCTGTCAGTCATCTCTATTACCTACCTACCTACCTACCTACCTACCTACCTACCTACCTACCTTTATCTATCTATCTATCTATCTATCTATCTATCTATCTATCTATCTATCTATCTTGGATGTTGGCTTGTATCAAGCAGGAGGCACCATGTGTGGTAAGGTAGAAATCTTAAAGAGATAGAGATGATGATTTGATCCTGGTAGGAATGAGGAAAAGGATTTTTCCTGGAATGATTGTCTGTCTGTCTGTCAGTCATCTCTCTCTCTCTCTCTCTCTCTCTCTCTCTCTCTCTCTCTCTCTCTCTCTTGCTCTCTCTCTCTCTCTCTCTCTCTAATCTTTTTTGACCCTTCATGGCAGAACCTCCATGCATTATTACCCCACAGGCCCTCCTCTTGAAAGAGATGCAACTTACTTTTTTCTGGAAAGGCAGCGGGTGGGCCTTTTTGGCTGCACAAAAGAATTTGGGTCATAAATCACTGGGGGAAAATTAGTTGGTTTCCAAAACAAAACAAACCTGACATTTCTTAGCTGCTTGTACTAGAATTGTCAGTAGCAGCTGGCAAAGTGCACACACTAAGCAGAAAGATAAATGCCAAGGAAATTTAGTCTTGGCTTGCCATAGGTTTAAGTCAACAAGGCAAAATAAAATAAATTACATAGCAAAGACCGATCTGCACTTGAATGAGTTTCGGATATAAATCTTGATGAAGTGCAATGGCTTCAGGTTAAAAACTTGAGCCCTTTTTTTCCGAGCTATGTGCTTCTCAATTTATGTCCAAAATCAGGATTTCCATTGCAAAGCAAGGTGGTTCTTAAGTGAAGCATGCCAGATGTTATGACCATTTTTTTTTTGCCATGGGTGTGAAGTGAATCACTTAACAATCGCAAGACTCTGCGACGTTACAACTGTTGTAAGTTCCCAAGTGGCCAAATGTTGATCACGTGAACGTTGGGAATGACTGCAATGGTCATAAGTGCGAGGACTGATTATAAGTAATTGTTTTCGGTGCTGTGGTAATTTCAAATAATTGCTACATGAATGATGGTTGCATCGTGTGCGCTATTAAAAAAAATCACATCCTGTAATAGATGAATATCTGAATGCAACAATATCGATAAGATAATTTGGAATTTAAAAAATTCCAAAGTTTTAGACTCCTGCAGGAGGTGGGTGGACTTAACACATGGTTTGAACCTAGCCAATAGTGGTTTATTCAACACATTGCAGTTAAACCAGGTTTTGGTTCAACGCATGAATCCATCTCAGCCTTTCCGTGTTCTTCTCTCTTTCTTTTCCAATTTTCAAGCTTATTGGGCATCCAAGTTTCATTTTAGCAGAATGGGTTGAAAAATACCACGCGGTTCCTTCCTCCCCCAAGTCAACCTTTCTGTATGTTTGATCCTGGGCCATTGGGATGCTGCCCAACGTCCAAGTAAACATTCAGAAGACTTCAATGAGAAAGAGATTCTCAAGCCTATTGAGAACTCAGGATCCAGATTTGGACTCGGTAGCCCTGGCATCGTTCTGACTCCCCCTCTTGCAGTCCAGAGGGGCTTTCAAACACTGCCTGGTTGTTTTTCGTCCCTTAAACCATGTTGGTCTTGGCCAGATCACAAAATCCAACGTTGTATAGCTGATAATGTCAACTTTCTACAATAAACAGGCTGGAGGCACTGTGGAGCCTTGCGCAGGGTGGCTTAAGAGATAAGCTGTGTTTTTGCCCAGCATCTTTCGGGTTATCAGATCGGTTGACAGACACGGATCAAGGTTTATCTCAAAGGGATGCTGCTTCAGCAAAACGTCTCCCCGTTAGAACAAATTGCTGGTTTGTGGTGGGGCAAAAGGCAGCCGAGGTAGATAATCTGTACAAAGATTGGGTTGTGTCCTGGCATGAAACGAGACAGTTCCCCCCCCCCCCACATTCGTCGGCGTTGTTGCTCTTTGGGAATTTGGACATGCTTTTCGCCAATCTTTTGTTAGGATGGGAAGGCTGTTTTTTTGCAACGGGGGCTGCCTTTTAAAAATGGATGTTCTCCATCTGGGAGGAGGGTGCGAAGTTTGGGAATGACAGCCGAGAGACCCAACTGGGATTTTTTAGCTTTTATTGCAGGCTTTGGGAAGAGTGGGAGATTATTATTTTTTTTACAGAAAGAAGAAGATGGGTGTGAAACACGTATTGGTTCACCATAGAATAAATCTTATTTATTTATTTATTTATTTATTTATTTATTTATTTATTTATTTATTTATTCATTCATTCATTCATTCATTCATTCATTCATTCATTCATTCATTCATTTATTGGTTCAATTTATATGCTGCCCTTCTCCGGAGACTCAGGGCGGCTTACAATGCTTTTTAAACAATAGCCTTCATACTTTTGTATATATCTGCTTAGTAGGGCTTTTGGCCCCCCCAAGCGGTGTTCTATTTTATACAAAGTCAGCTTATTGCCCCCACAAACTGGGTCCTCATTTTACCTACCTCGAAAGGATGGAAGGCTGAGTCAACCTTGAGCCTGGTGAGAATTGAACTCGCATTTGAATTTTGGGGAAAATTAGCCCAGATTTATTTTAGAATAAAGAGCAGAGCATAATTTTGGGAAACGTTAGCATAGCATTAGCTAAACTTTCGCTAAAAGTAGTTTAAAGTTAGCTAATTTTGGAAACATGGGCTACAACGAGGTAAATTTGGGGAAATTAGCATAGCATGAGCTGAACTTAGTTAATGTTAGCTAATTTTGGAAAACTGGGATAAAAAATAGGGAAATTGGAGATAAGTTTGGATAAAAATGTAGGTACCATAAATTTGGAAAAATTAGCATACAAATATAGTTTGCTTTTTTGGAAAAATCAGCAAAACTTCACCTTATTAAGAAGTGGTCATTGGCCACGAATTGCATAAACCAAATTTCAGTTCAATGGGTTTAGAGTTTAAGGTAAAAAAAAAAAAAGGGTGATAAGTAGGAAATTTGGGTCTCTCCTAATTTTATGACTCTTTGAAATCTGCATTTGAAGCTTGGGGACGAACATATTTTATATCATTTTTGTTTCTCCTATTGATTACATATCACAGTCCCCAATGAATAACGAAGTGGTATTTCAACCCTCTTTCACCTTCACAGAAATTCTGAAAAGTTTTGGTTAAAAAATGATGATGAGAAACTAATCCTATTCTCTCTCTCTCTTTTCTTTCTTTCTTTCTTTCTTTCTTTCTTTCTTTCTTTCTTTCTTTCCTTCTTTCTTTCTTTCTTTCTCTCTCTCTCTCTCTCTCTCTCTCCCCCCCTCCCGCCTGCCCTCCCTCCCTCCCTCTCTCTCTCTCTGTATTTACTTTTCTCAGGATTTTTCTATAATTCCTCCCCTCCTTTCAACAAATTGGCAACCACCCTTTGGCTCTCGGACACATCATTTTCAGAGTCCAGAATTATGCTAGACAATTTTAAAGGGTCTTTGAGGTGAGTATTGTCCTGTTCTCTTCCCTCCCTCCCTCCCTCCCACCCTGTTCCCCCACTTTCCCAAGATGACTTAATCTGTTCAGATAGTCCTCGACCTGCGACCACAGTTGAGCCCAAAATTTCAGTCCTTAAGCGAGATATTTGTCAAATGAGTTTTGCCCCATTTTACGACCATTATGGCCATGGTTCACTTAATATCACTGCAGTTGTCAAATTAGTAACACAATTGTGGAGTGAATCTGGCTTCCCTCGTTGACTTTGCTTATCAGAAGGTCGCAAAGGGTGACACTGCCACCGTCATAAGTACATGCCAGTTGCCAAGTCATCTGAATTTAGATCACATGACCACAGGGATGCCGCAATGGTCATACGTGTGAAAAATGGTGATATCACTTTTTTCAGTGCTGTTGTAACTTCAAACGGTCACTAAATGTAAGTTGTAAGTTGAGGACTACCTGTATATCCTGTGAGATATCTGCAAGAGAGTGTAACACTGACCCTTCCAGTAATTTGAAGTAATTCCTTCACTGAATCCATTCCTGAAGAAGTTGGCCAGCTGTGATAGTGTAATATGAACTCTTGTCCTGAGTGGACTTCATGGTTTCAGTTCTGGAAGCCAATTCTGGGCTTCCATCGTTCAAGAAGCTCTACTTTTTGGATGCTTAATTCTCCATAATGGTCTGAAGGTCTACAACCAAATGACCTCATAGGTTTGGCTCTTATTCCATAATTCCGCACTGGATAACCCAAAGGTGCTTTTTTCAAGAGGCAACTGGACTTCCTGGTTTTTTCTTTGAAGATGTTTCGCTTCTTACCCAAGAAGCTTCTTTAGCTGATCTTCTTCAGATGAATGTCTTCAAAGAAAAACCAGAAAGTCCAGTTGCCTCTTGAAAAAAGCACATTTGGGACAACCCTGACGACGGACAATCTCCATAGATATTCCACACTGGATGTTATTCCATAATTCCTAGATCTGTACCATTTGCTTCAGAAAGCTACTCATTGGTTTGTAGATCCCATAAAGAAAATTGCAAACCATTTCCTGTTGTTTTTCAAGAGAAAGTTTAACACCGACAGGAAGAATGTGGAGATTCTCAGTCACTCAGGTCATGGTTGTCCCAAAAGTGCTTTTCAAAAGGCCACTGGATTTTCTTGGTGCTTTTTTTTTTCTCTCGAAAATGTTTTGCTTCCCATCCAAGAAGCTTCTTCTGTTCTTCTCTCACCCAAGAAGGAACTTGTTGCCTGAGAAGCCCCCCCCAAAAAAATTTCAAGGAAAAAAACCAAGAAAGTCCAATGGCCTTTTGAAAAAAAAACCTTTGGGACACTGACTGTAAAGGAATAAATCTTATTTCTTAAGACCTGGTTGAATTCCTGGGCTTGTTAAAGTAGAACAAAGATAGCTAAGGGGGGTTCAGATCTTTATTAGGAATGTGTGACTCACTAAAAAAAATCATTTCACTGTCTGGGTTGGTAAGGACAATATTGATGGGCTGGTTGGACTGGTTTTGAACATTATAACTGTTTCAGAGATCCCTTTACAGAGCCCTTGGGTGAATTTTTTTTTAAAATTTGATTTATATGCCGCCCTTCTCCGGAGACTCAGGGCGGCTTACAATGCGTTAAGCAATAGCCTTCATACTTTTGTATATTTATACAAAGTCAGCTTATTGCCCCCACAAACTGGGACCTCATTTCACCTACCTTAGAAAGGATGGAAGGCTGAGTCAACCTTGAGCCTGGCGAGATTCAAACTTACTAATTGCAGACAGCTGGAGTTAAATTGCAATGCTTTAGTCTGCTGAGCTATCCAGGCTCCTGATTTTGTCCTCATTTATTTAACCATGAATTTAAATTGGGCAACACCATTTAGTGTAAGACAAATTAGTTTATGTTCTTTCTTTGACCCAAGTTTTGAGACCAGTTTTCTCCAACCTGGTTGATGTGGACAAAAAGTTAAGTGGAGTCAGATGTGAGGAATACTTGAAAGGGAGATTTCTAGACTGAAGATTAGACCACAAAGCAAAATCACAACCGGAAGATAACGATGGCAATTCATTTCCATATGATTTCCAGAAAAACAATACTCTGTACATCCATGCCCACGTAGCCATCGGCTCAAATCAAGGGAGGCTTTGACCTCACTGCTTACTCACCCAAGTTCTTAAGGGCACAGCAAAATCAGATTTCCTTTTGGAAGGAGGGTGGGAAGGATATGCTCTAAATCTTTTAATTTGATTGCGAAACTACGCTGGCTAGAAATGAATGCATTTTTAAAATAGCATTGTTCTTCATTACGTCCAACTTTTATTAACAAACATTTGGCAGGGCCTGACGCAGCCATCCTTGATGTCACTTCTACAAACATCTTGGCAGTGAAACCCATTCATACTCTGTTCCAAAATGTCCTGCCGGTTTTATTATTTTTTTTCCCCAGTTTCCCTTGGCTGTTCGGGCTTCCTGAATTTTAACGTTGCCAGCTTGCATCCAACCCCTCCCCACCCACCCTTTAGAATAGGAAGAATCTATTTTTGTAAAGTTGGGGAACAGAAAAAAAAAAACACCAAAAATATATATAGAGAGAGAGAGAAAGAATGTACAAATTTAGACATGGCAAACCACGCAAGCATAATTTGACTTGGTGTAAAATGGTAATCATGCTTTATTTCAAGCAGCCGAATAAGAGAAATAAGAGATTGGTTAGTCTGGCAGTGGAAAGATGGATAGGAGAAAGAATTCAAATCTTCCCCTTGCTCAAAACAGAAAACCGATAGCAGTTTTGTACGTTGAGTCGGTTTGAACATGCGAAACGTAAGCCTTGTTTTCCATCTGGACTTTGCACATAAACATTTGCAACACACACCCAAGCCAGTGTGATTGTATTTTTCTTTGAAAAATTGTTAGAGTCAATCAGATTTGTCTAGGGCAGAGGTCTTCCAACTTGGCAGCTTTAAGACTTGTGGACTTCAACTCCCAGAATTCTCCAGCCAGCGTAGCTGGGAGTTGAAGACCACAAGTCTTAAAGCTGCCAAGTTGGGAGATCTCTGGTCTAGGGAGATTCTCAATCACCCAGGTCATGGTTGTCCCAAATGTGCTTTCCCCACCACCCCCGGTCCCCCAAAAGGCAATTGAATTGTCTTGATTTTTTTTCTCCTTGAAAATGTTTCACTTCTTGGATGAGAACTGAAGAAGCTTCTTGGATGAGAAGTGAAACGTTTTCAAAGAAAAAAAACCAAGGAAGTCTGGGGGGTGGGATAAAAGCAGTTTTGGGACAGTCAATCAGATTGTTGGAATTTGAAGGACTTTTCGCTTTGGAGTGAAAATGTTTAATCATTTGGATTCTTGCTGCTGCCTGGGCTTAGCTGTTTTCTTGCAGACATTTTGTGGCCCGACTGGGTTATATCATCAGTGCTATGAGTGTGCACCCTGTGGCCATGGGGGTGGGTGGGGGTGGTGGGCAAACCTCAGCGATGGGCATATCATCTACACATTTAACCAGAAAGTGGTGGTTGGGTTGTCTCCCTCGTGAAGCAGGAAAGTCAACAACAATCTCTTTTTGCCCTGCAGGATTCTGAGTTCCCTCGTTGTGCTTGGATTTCAGCTGGTCATTCCACAGCCTTCCATCGATCACAGAAAGGTAAGTGGTGTGTGTCACGCAAGGAACCCACCTGTACGGGACAGTTTTGCAGCTCTGCATGCTTTAAGCTCCTTCTAAGGCAGTAGGAGCAACTAACCATGGTTCATTCAGTCGTCTTAAAATGCTGAAATGTTTGTAAAGTCTGGCCTACAGCTACAGTTTTGGGCGTATCTTGCTTCAAGATGGCAGAAACCTTGCCTCCATTGATTTTCATCCATCGTACCGACAAGTAACCCTCGACTTATGACCACAATTGGAACCGGAACTCCCATCACCTAGTGATGCGGTCGTTAAAGTGAGCCAGGCCTGGTTTGATGACCATTTTACTACAGTCGTTAAGCAAAATCACCCTGTTGTGATTTGGGTTTAATCTGTTGTTTTCACCCAGCCCAGATTAAACCAAGCCCAGATGGTACATCAATCAAGCTGTTAGCCTCTTGGGAAGAAGCAAATGCCAGCATCCTTTTTCATCCTGTCTCCATGCAGCCTCTTAAGTGAAGGAAAGACCAAACTTGCAGATCTGATCCCGTCTTGAAATTCCACTTCAGCTGGAGTTGAGGCTCAGCTTTTCAACAACAGTCTGATCTAGCTGCTTAATCCTTACTTGAATGTACCTTTCCCCTCCCACCTCTCCCTCATCCTTCAGAATTCACCTTTTGTGGGCGAGCAAAAGGCATTTGTGTCCTGAAGGCACATCAAGAGCCACGCCGACTTTCATCTCTGTCGGGGTGGGGTGGGATGGGCTGGGGAGGAAGCCACAGCCAGGCGCTCACGGCTGGGAAACGTAGCCTTCCCTTCAGAGGTTGCTGAGCCTTGTCAGCTCCATTGTTCTGGAAGAATGTGAGAGCCACGCTGAGGATTTAGCATTTGTTCCCACCGTTTTGGGGTTTTCCGCACGGGTTAAACAAGGTCACCAGCATTGGGGCAACGTTGATTTTCGAAATGTGTAGAGTCCTGACTTGCTTCCTGTTGCTCAACGAGGCTAATCTCAGTTCCCCCACAGCAGATCATTAAATCAGATCATTCTTGGGTGGAGAGGTAGCGGCAGGTATTTCTCTCTCTGGGCACAGTGAGTAAATATCAGCATGCGAACTCTGCATTGGCGACAGGAAAGGCATCCGGCCAGTAAACACTCAACTCCATTCAGTTGCCCTGACTCCACCCCGATGCCAGCAATTACGGGGTCATTAAAAGACAAATATATATATATATATTTGGTGGAGAAGGTTTTCCTTTTGATGACCAACTGAGATGGTTATTTATCTGGTCTTCTCCATGTGCCACCAACCACGATGAGAGAACCTAGTTTTGGAGCCCCTATCTCTACCGTTAAACAATCAACAGTAAATAAAACTAAAGAAAGGGACAGCGCAGAAAACATGGTCATGTCCCGAGCTTTGCAAAATGTACCATTTTGAGAAGGTTTGTTCTTCTCTACCGTAGTAGCTCCAGCTGAAGTTCTACCTCTGCTTTGAGTTCCTTCAGACCGAGAGTTTCCTGACTTCTTCTCAAAAAGGTGAAGCCATTAACTCCACCCCGTGTTTTGGAATTGGATCAAGAGGACCTTCCTGCCTGCTCAAATGGCTAAATATTGGTAATCCTTGCTGGTAATTTTATCCAAGTGTGGCATCATCTATCAAAGAAAATTGTCAAGACAAGTATGTTTTACAATGAGATTTCTTACCTTCACAGCAATGAAACAGTTTTAAAATCGACCAGCCGCTCTGGAAGAACACATGCTAGGCTGGGTTTTGGGCAAGGACTGAACTTGATCCAGAGAGATTTCAGCATGGCTTCAACCCAAAATGGATTGTGATAAACCAGGTTACTCTCCTGCTCCTGACCCACAGGCTTTCTCTTAAGCATATGAACACTTGCATGGACGTTCTTCAGGATCAGAGGGGGTTCCCGTTTGGGTGGAAGAAAGCGTTGTCCACTTTCTACAGCTGGTTTGGCTCCAGCCTTCTCTGTGTGCTCCAAAAGAATGAGTCTGGGAGATGTTTCAAGGTTACAGATGCACAAAGATCTGGGTGACATTAGTCCAGAGCTGTTTGTCCTCTCGAAATCCTTTAAGACCCTTCAGATGTGGAAGGGCTGGTGATCTTTTCCAGGCATTGTCCAGTTTTGAGGTCTCTTCTGTCTCATTTGGCCATGTGTGATGATGTCTTGTTGATAGTTGCTATATAGTTTGGAGCACTGGTGAAATCCAATTTTTTTTTACTAACGCTTCTGTGGGCGTGGCTTGGTGGGCATGGTGTGGCTTGGTGGGTGTGGCTTGGTGGGCGGGGCAGGGGAAGGATACTGCAAAATCTCCATTTCCACCCAACACCAAGGGGAAAGATATTGCAAAATCCCCATTCCCTCCCCACTCCTGGGGCCAGCCAGAGGTGGTATTTGCCAGTTCTCCGAACTACTCAAAATTTCCACTACTGGTTCTCCGAACTACTCAAAATTTCTGCTACCAGTTCTCCAGAATCTGTCAGAACCTGCTGGATTTCACCCCTGGTTTGGAGGACACAACCTCAACGGTTTTTGACTTGATAAAAAGGACACTCTTGTTTGAGATGTTTAAGAAGAGATTGGACAACCATTTGTCTAAAATGGTATAGGGATTCCTGCCTGAACAGGGGGTTGGACTAGAAGACCTCCAAGGTCCCTTCCAACTCTGTTATTCTGTATTCTGTTATGTAAGAGGGACCCATACCTCTCCAAATATTCTCTGACATCAGACACACAGTTTCCAATGACAACACAGATGGTTAGCTCTACCTATTGAGTAAAATATATTAGAATCTTTGAGTCTACCTTGATCAAGAATAACTTATAGCTAGATAACCACCACTGTTGAAGTTTCATTTCATATTTGGATTCTTGGAATAACTGTGTCTTCTAATCCCATAGATAATTTGGAAAGTAAAAATGCTTCTTGATGGCTGTTTTAGAGTAGAATATTTGAATGAAAGCCAGAGCTAGAACACACGTTTAGGAAAATGGATGAATGCCTTGAGCAATTATCTCACCATTATTTCCTACTTAGCATATATATGAAGTTGACTCGGTGAAGGCATAATTCAGAAATGTAGAAACAAATAGTTAAGGGAGAGTCTATTAAGTGGCTATTAATATCACTTTTGACTGTTACATTTTGGGGTGGCTGTTTTTTTTTTTTTAATGGGAAATCTCCAGTGCTGGCAGATAAATAGCTCAAACTGAATTAATAGGCGTTGATTCCTAATATGAAAAATGGACTCTAGTTTTGTAGGCCTGCTTAACATTTAACCTCCCTTTCCGGTTCCCTTCATCACCCTTTAGCTGTGAATCTTGTAATTCAGAGGCTGGGAAGTCCAGCAGCAGTCACGGAAAGTAGCAGCTGAAGGCAGCTCATAACTCATGCAGATTAGTTATTCTGACTGGCTCCAATCCAAGTTGGCTTGTAGGCATCAGCAGGTTGGGGCGTATGTCCGGTCTTTTGCTCCTCTAAGTACCACCAGTGGTCTTTTAGCAGAAGAGGGGCCCAGCCACCTCTTCCCTGTCCCCAAAAGAAGAGTCACTAAGGTCTGTAGAAAGATCTTCGGTCATCACCAAAGTCTACATTTGGAGGTGATGCTTTTCAGACTGTGCTTCCAGCTTGAAAACCCAAAATGTTCTGGTTCCCACCTGTCTAGATGTCCCAAAGATGCTTTTTCAAAAGGCAACTGGATTTTCTTGGGGTTTTCCTTGAAAATGTTTCACTTCTCATCCAAAAAGCTTCTTCAGTTCTGGGGGAGAAGCGAAATGTGTTCAAGGAAAAAAAACAACAAGAAAGTCCAGTTGCCTTTTGGACAAGCACCTTTGGGACAACCACAACCTGGGCGATTTGAGAATCTCTGTAGACATTTACCTGCCTAGATATATGATGCTTAGAACCTCCCTTCCGTGGTGGGGAGACAATTGGGGGTATGTTGGGTGAGGAAAGGAGGAGTTATTGGCCATCTTGGGTTCTGCTTGCTGGGGAATTCTGGGAGTTGAAGTCCACAAGTCTTTTTTTTTTTTAAACATACACAGAAAAAGAAAAAATACAAATAAAACAATACACAACATATACAACATTTAAATGTAATGACTTATTTCTTAAAATAGTACATCGATAAATTACATTTCTCAATATCTATAGCCACCTCTCACCTTATATAACAATATTTTTTAAAGTTCTATTTTAACTCTAATATGTCTCATTTAGTTCACAAATTGGTTCAAATCTTTTAGGATCATCTTTTATTTGGTTTTCCTTTTCTCCAGCCATTGATACCACTTTTGCCAAACCAGATAGTATTCAGATTCTTCCTTTTCTTGGATTTCTTTAGTGAGTTTGTCCATCTCGGCACATTCCATTACTTTTGATATTATTTTATCTTGTGTTGGGATTTCTTCTGATTTCCAATTTTGTGTGAAGTCCACAAGTCTTAACATGGCCAAGGTTGGCCATCCTGGTTTAAAGAGCTGCAGGTTGGATGTCCCTGGAGCGATGTTTTGAAGCACCTTTTGTGATCCAGTTAGAAGCAGCCTTCATTCATCGCATGAATACTTTTATTTTGTCCTTTCTAATGTTTCTGGCTTCAAACTTGCTTTATTTTTGTGCCAAAATTTTTAATTGATGGGGAAGGGGAACAAGACAGATTTCGGAAGGGACATGTGCTAAAGTCACCCAGACTCTTCCCCCCCCTCCTCCTTTGATGTCATGACTAATAAACGTGAAGGCGCATTTCAAAATGGAGAAACATCTGGATTGCATTGACAGAAAAATCTGTGTATGCATGTAACAAATAAAGACGACACTGAATTAGCTTATGTTGTTAGCAAATTTTTGACAAATCCTTCTCTCTTGTCAGGGTCAGATAGACATGTGCAGTAGCTCCCCTGGAGAACAACTTGGGAGGTGTGGTTTGTGGAAAGGTGTGGGTTGTGATGCCCGAGTGAGGGCTCTGTGTGTGTTTGTGTGTTTGTATTGTGTCCGGCTGCTGTGGACCTGTTGCTGGTTGCTGCCAAACAGACTTCAAGCTTTTCCTTCTGGATTGTAAAGTTACTCATTCTCCTGATTTCTGAATCTCTCCCAGCTTGGAAACTAAAGCTCAGAAAATTCCTTTAACTGATGCAGTTGATTAATTAGGTCACAAAATGGATCCATCTGTGAGACCCAGCAACCCACCCCCAGGTTCCTCTCTGTAGATGTGGTTGGTTATATCTTCTAGTGACCAAAATGCTTCAGCCAATCCAGCCTCCCTGTGGAATAGGAATAGAGCTGGAAGGGACTTTGGAGGTCTTCTAGACCAACCCCCTGGTCAAGCAGGAGACCATCTACCATTTTAGACAAGTGGCTGTCCAGCCTCTTCTTTAAAGCCTCCAGGGATGGAGCACCCACTACTTCTGGAGGCAAGTTGTTCCACTGATTAATTTTTCTCACTGTTAATTAATTAAGTAATGTTAATCATTAGAGTTACATCACCTAATATCTAATGCTTTGTTAGTTTTATTGTTTCAAATGAGGTTTTATATTCTGTAAGCTGCCTTGAGTTGCCACGTGTGAATAGGTGGCGATATAAATTCAATAAATAAGTAAATAAAATAAGAGAAATGTGGCCCAGATATTTACTTGACATAGAGAGATAGATATTTGAAGATAGATAGCGATCTAAAACTGATTGGAGTTAACTGTAGGGGTGTATTATGACTATGTCCTACTGTTTTCTTTTAATTTACTTCTATACTTGTATCAGTTTTATACTTTTAAGATAGTCAGATAACCACATCAATAAGATTTCTATTCTATTTTGGCATAAGGGTTCTCTCAAGAATGGCAACTGTTGGTATCTGTCTTGCCAGCTTCATTTCTCCTAAGGCAGGGAAGTTTAGTAGACGATAGGAAAGGAGACTTTCAAAATTCAATTAATATACTCTGCAATGATAAACCAGCATTTCTGGAATCCTGAAATCTCTGTTTCTTAAGAACATAAGCAGTGATTTGCTGATTGGACTCCTGGCCCACCTAGTCAAGGAGTCTGTACTTACAGAAGGCAAGCAGCTGCCTATGGAAGCCCACCAGTAGATGGCCTTCAGGCATAGCCATGGATCTCTATGAGTTCCATGAATTGGTCCAACCCTTTTTGGAAGCAGCCAAGCTGGTAACCAACCTAACATCTCATGATAGAACAGCATTTCTCAACTGGACCACTTGGAGATGGGTGGACGTCTTCAACTCCATGTTGGCTGGGGAATTCTGGGAATTGAAGTCCACCCATCTTCAAGTGGCCCAGGTTGAGAAACGTTATGGTAGAGATTCCAAACCTGAATTACACATTGTGTAAAATAAATTCTATTATCTTGACCTCAGTCTACTTTGAAAATATGATGTCCCCCACTCCTAATTCATCTCTTCTGGTCTCCCTTGTAGGTACCCCAAAGGATAAAAGATGGGAACGTTGCCCCAGAAGAAGAGAGTGGAGGAATCCCGGGGGTTTGGGGCAGTTGGGGACCTTGGTCAGCTTGCTCCAGAAGCTGCAGTGGTGGAGTGATGGTGCAGATGCGGCCATGTCTTCCAGGATACTACTATGACAGGAGCTCTCACAATCCTGGGCAGTACTCTGCTTCGGGGAGGGCACTGGCTCACCTCCAGCAACTGCCTCAAGAAGACTCCCTGCCTCCTTTCTCTGGTCACGTCATCTCGGCCATCCGTACATCGGTGCCTCTTCACAGGAATGAGGAACCGGCACGGGCTGCCCTCTCCTCCTCCTCTTCCTCCTCCTCCGGAGGACGCAATGACACCTACTGGAGCCGAGCAACTTCAAGAGGGGCTCAGGTTTCTCAGTCCCGAAGACGTAGCCCCAAATCAGAAAGAAGGTAGTTCTTTCCCTTTTCTTTCTTTCTTTCTTTCTTTCTTTCTTTCTTTCTTTCTTTCTTTCTTTCTTTCTTTCTTTCTTCCTTCCTTCCTTCCTTCCTTCCTTCCTTCCTTTTCCCCTTCCCTTCCCCTTCTTCCTCCTCCTCCTCTTCTTCTTCCTCTTCTTCTTCCTCCTCCTTTCTCCTTCCTTCCTTCCTTCCTTCCTTCCTCCCTCCCTCCCTCCCTCGTTCTTTCTTCATCTTCCGAGCATTCTGCACATTCCTGAGGTCAATGTTAAGGTCCACCTTATGGATGAGTGCAGTAAGCAGGCCCTTTACTTGATTGGCCGCCTTATTATGAAACTATTCCCCTCCTACATGTTTCTTAGAGTCCAATTTGTTTGTTTTTGCTTTTAGCTAGTAAATGTGAAGCTTTTTCTTAAATCGCTTAATTGCAGGTACGTATTGACCCATAGCATTTTCCTTAATTTGCTTCCTTTCATTCTCACTATGTCAACTAGTTAGACAAGACGGTATTTCTGTGAAAGGTTATAGATAAATACTTCTGAGAAATTGCTACACTTCCTCCAGAGTCAGGATGCGTCTTCTTCCAAATTTAGGTTGTAGAACGGTTGCAGGATGAGCTTCTGAGCAGCCAGGCGCAGGCTTGTCACGTTACGCTTTATAGCTGTGGGGAAAGGACTTGACATCAAACAAGCTCAAATGCAGATGTGTGCATGCTTGGAGCATTAAAATAAAATTTCTCTCCCACCCCCGCCAAAGGAAAGTCAGAAGGAACACTTCATATGGAACAAATAATGGTAAATAAGGACTCTTCCTCATTCTTTGCTGAAACCCACCTCTGCTTCCTGGATTGATGAGGGTCTCCCTTCTCTTTCGCTGTCCTGGATGGTGTTGAGCTTCACTTGGGGGGCCAGCTGCCCCTTTGCTTCAGCCCGGCAGGTCTGCATTTAGCAATTGTGGGATCCACAAGGAATGGGGAACATCTGTAGGTTTGGAGGTTTGGAATCTCTCCTTTGGGGAATTTCCTCTGTGTCTTTCTTACAGCTGTATCATCGTCACGTCAAAATAAGCTGCAAAACCCAGGCATTTCAATCGTCGATCCGGGTTTATTGCAAAAAAAAAAGGGGGGGGGGCTTGAAAATGACAGGTTGACCCTCCTGTGAGGGACAAGATTCAGCTGCTTTGTTGGCAATAGCAAAGAGAGAGTTGGAAAGGGGGAAAAAAAGATTAAAACAAAAAGGAAATGAAATGAAAAAGCTTTTAACGCGACGAGCACAATTTATGTTTGATGTTTTTTTTTGTTTTTTGCAAGAACTTCCAAGAGATAAAGTAAATAGTTGGTGGATACAATTAGAGAGGGGGAAAAAAGGGCAAAATGTTGTTAAGTGAGTGTTTTTTAGAGAGTGTCTCCAGCTGGGAAACACTGCCAGGATGTTTTCATCTTAATTCTGGATTGAGTTTATTTATTTAGAATATCGACATGGTTGATCGTTTTAAAACCTGAACTCTGGGATGGCTCACAACCATAACAGAAAACCATATCAATCGGATGAGAAGCTTTGCTGATCATTTGTTCCTCCTTCTCTTTTTCTCCTCAAAGCTAAGGAAGACCAGAAAGTAGAGATTAGGAATTATGACCGAGACAAACTCATTCTGAAGATGTATCTGGAGGACAGCCGGCTGGTCTTGGCGAGCTGTGTAAACACTTCCCAAAGACACAAAATGTTTGTACCGGTCAGTAGGAAGGACGTAGAAATGGCTTTGGTGATGCTAGGCTTTTGAGATGGTGCCCAAGTGTGGTTGAACAATGGGCATCAAGTAAGAGTTAAGACTTGCAAAGCGCTTTATGGCTTAGGACCAGTGGTGATATCCAATTTTTTTTACTAACGGTTCTGTGGGTGTGGCTTGGTGGGCGTGGCAGGGGAAGGATACTGCAAAATCTCCATTCCCACCACACTCCAGGGGAAGGATACTGCAAAATCTCCATTCCCTCCCCACTTCTGGGGGAAGGATATTGCAGAATCTCCATTCCCACCCCACTCTGGGACTAGCCAGAGGTGGTATTTGCCGGTTCTCCGAACTACTCAAAATTTCTGCTACTGGTTCTCCAGAACCTGTCAGAACCTGCTGGATTTCACCCCTGCTTAGGACCCTGTACTGAGGGGCCGTCTTTCTCTAAATTTGCTTGCCCATTGAGAGTCCTCTTGATACTTTTTCTAGAAGTTGGAGGAGAGATGGACAGCTGTTAATGAAGGTCTTCTTAGGTGGCCTTTTGTGATTTTGGTGTAGACATGCACACCGTACACTCAATGCAAGAGACTCTTTTTTAGATATTTGATGGAAAATTAACCCAAGTACTATTATCAAAAAAGGGACGTGGTGGCTCAGTGGCTAAGATGCTGAGCTTGTCGATTGAAAGGTCGGCAGTTCAGCGATTCAAATCCCTAGTGCCGCGTAACGGGGTGAGCTTCCGTGATTTGTCCCAGCTTCTGCCAACCTAGCAGTTCGAAAGCAGGTAAAAAATGCAAGTAGAAAAATAGGGACCACCTTTGGTGGGAAGGTAACAGTGTTCCGTGCGCCTTTGGCATTGAGTCATGCCGGCCACATGACCACGGAGACGTCTTCGGACGGCGCTGGCTCTTCGGCTTTGAAACGGAGATGAGCACCGCCCCCTAGAGTCGGAAACAACTAGCACATAGGTGCGAGGGGAGCCTTTACCTTTACCTTACTATCATCAAGAAAGGGCGAATGGTTACATCACCAGGAAGGAATGGAATTACAAGGATAAGTTAAAAAAAAAAGAGTTAATCTGGAAAACTAGCTATGGTTTATTGGAAAAGGATCATAACCAGTGGTGGGTTGCCCCCAGTTCGTACCAATTCTATAGAACCGGTAGTAAAACCGGCGGGAGGCTCCGCCCACCGAACCCAACGTCATCAGAACGCTTTTGCGCATGTGCAGAAGAGAGAGAGCGTGCGCAGCCCCATTGCAAACGATAGTAAAAGTAAGTAGAACCCAGCCCTGATCATAACCCCTCCTGGTAGACATTTTGGTAAAACCCAGGATGTTTTGGCAGTTTGCATTGAAGGAGATTTCCCAGGTTGTACCTGATGCAACGTTGCTCTGAAAAGTCTTCCAACAGCTAGAGCCGTGGATGCGACGGGAACCGTAGATGTTTGGCCTCTCTTAACAAATCTGACCCAAGGGCTCCACCAAACAATGTATTTTTTTTTTCCCAGAGGCAACACACACCTCCTGCAAGCTGCTTCCACTTCTTCATGAGTAACAGATGACTTTCCGAAGGAGAAATGCACATCTGGCGTTCTTCCCAGGGCTGACTTCTGAAAAAGCCAGCTTGATAAATAATAATCTGAAGCACGCACAAACACAGGGACAGATTTGACCCATCCCTATTGACCTCTGTCCTGTGTAGCAGATGAAAGGATGGGTAGATGGTCTCCTCCGATCAAGAGGTTTGTTTTGGAAGGAGGATTTACTACTGCCCTCGCCTCAAGTGTAGAAGGTCACTTACCACTACTGATGCTTTGTCTTTTGGTAGATATAGGACAATGGTGAAATGTAAAATTTGTTACTACCGGTTCTGTGGGCATGGCTTGGTGGGGTGGGCGTGGCCAACTTTTTTTTTTTTTACTTTTAAAAGCATTTTTTTCTCTTCGGCCGAAGAGGTTGGTTAAAAAAATGCTTTTAAAAGGCTCTGACAATCCCAGCTGAGTTTCCTGAGAGGCTTTTTTTTTTTCTTTTAAAAGCATTTTTTCTACAACCTCTTTGGTGAAGAAGTTGCAAAAAAAAAATGCTTTTAAAAGCCTCTAATGATCCCAGCTGAGCCGTGCGATCATCAGAGGCTTTTTTTTTTAACTTTTAAAAGCATTTTTTCGGCCGAAGAGGTTGTAGAAAAAATGCTTTTAAAAGTTTTTTTTTTAAAAAAAAGCCTCTGGTGATCGCGTGGCTCAGCTGGGCATGAGGGGGGGGGCAGGGATTTTTGCTACCGTTTCTCCGAACCACCCGCCTCCATTGCTACTGGATTGGGTGATCCGGTCCGAACCGGGAGCATTTCACCCCTGATATAGGAGCTCTGGGTCTATTATCAGCCGAGAGGGTTAGTGTAAGCTCTGTACTTGAATCAAATTCTTTATGGACTTCCCCTTGCAGAGGAAAAAATAAGGCAATTGTCAGAGAGATTTACGGGAGGCCAATGAGCTGGGTGGGTAACGTAGTCTTAAAAAAACATCCTACGTTGACAGGAATTAAGTCTCTTTCTCTTGCTAATGAACAATATTAATGGGAAGAGTCGGGGAACAGTTTATCAAAGACAATTTTTTAAATATCCTGGAAGGGGTGGAGAAACCAGAGGAAAACATTGTATGAAGGAAGGGATCCAGGAACTAACAAGTTCTCAGTTGGCTGGAATTTAAATTTCCTTCCTGCCAATCTAGTTTGTTCTGCTGTGGAATTTGTGCATATCTTCTGCCTGGGCCTTGCACCCAGGGCCAGACCTTCTGGGCTACCCAAACTGGCTTTTGGGCAATTGAAAATAAAATCTCACACACAGAGGGTAACTAATTTAAGAATGTTGGCATACTGTTGGAAGCATGGACGTAAAATTGGGGAAGGGATGCCAGACAGATTAAGTGGGTGTATTTTTCTGCCCATTTTTCTTTATGAATTAAACCCTTCAAACCCTGTTTTCTGTGTATTTCACAGAGCAGGATCTGCATAACCATTGAATAACCTTTGTGGTCATTTGCAGGACTTCAGTAGCTGGAAGGAAGATGGATTTCAAGGCTGAATGTGGTTTTGGGGTGTCAGATTGCTGTCTCCCCCACCAGAATGAGGGAACGAGATGAGGGTCTGAGGTTTTTGTAATCGTTCTGAAGGGAGTCGAAATTCCTCCACACTCGGGAGGAGCAATGGAGCAAAACGAAACATTGGCTCTAGATGTCTATCTGCTCAGTTCGCATTAAACAAAATGTTCCTGCTAATTTACACCATGGAGAAAGAGAACGGTAGTAGCTGAGTGGGGGGTTGGAGGGGCTTGGGGAGAGAGGAAACTGGATTCCATGATATCTGATGGAGAAAATTGATCAAAGGTCATTTTCACCCTGCTGGCTGTTAAAATAATTGATTTTGCATAGTTGATTTTGACAGCGCCATGATGCCTAAGGTAGATCCTGGCATCCAATAGCCAATATTAAACCCAGCTTCCCTTATTCTAAAAACAAAACCCTCCCCATGTTTCTTTTTTGAATGCTGATTCAAATCCTGCGTGACACAGTTACACACACACACACCAAAAAAATATTGTGGGATACGCCCACGCATTACATTGATGGCTGTAATCAAATTGTTTTGCATGAGCTCTCGTTATGATTAGGGCTATGTCTTCCTTATAAAAGCGTGTCCTCCTTTTAGGCAGCCTGAAATATGAACCCTGGGGGGATCCATGGTCACAGTGGTGGGTTTCAAAATTTTTTACTACTGGTTCTGTGGCTTGGTGGGCGTGGCATGGCTTGGTGGGCGTGGCTTGATGGGCATGGCAGGGGAAGGATACTGTAATATCTCCATTCCCTCCCCACTCCAGGGGAAGGATACTGCAAAATCCCCATTCCCTCCCCACTCCAGGGGAAGGATACTACAAAATCCCCATTCCCTCCCCACTCCAGGGGAAGGTTACTGCAAAATCCCCATTTCCTCCCGATCAGCAGGGACTCGGGAGGCAAAGAATAGATGGGGATGGGGCCAGTCAGAATTTTTACTACTGGTTCTCCGAACTACTCAAAATTTCCGCTACCGGTTCTCCAGAACTGGGCTGAACCTGCTGAAACTCACTTCTGCATGGTCACCATTGCTCCGTTTGCTCACTAGATAAGTCTTTCCTGGCTTAAAATTTTCAATCTCAGGCTAAACGCTACCATTTCTGGGACTCCCAATTCTTGGCGCCTCAACCCGAGATTAACCGTAGCTTCTGGAGCCTAGGAAATATACTGTATATATTTGTGAGGTCTCGGGGTGGGTGAGTGAGAGATACCAGCAGCTTACATTTTTTTTTTATCAGTGAGATAAAACTTCTGTGTTAGATAAGTCCAGCAAGTCTGGAAGTCTCGTGAGATGTCTTCACGGTTGTATCTGGTGCATGCCTGCTTTTAGACATGTGTTATCTGTTAAACAGTAGCTTGTTTTCTGATGATAGCAAAGGATTCTTCTCTCTCTCTCCCCCCACAATTCCTTTCACTGGCATTCTCTGTGGATAAACATTGTCTGCAAGGCATAGAGGAAAAAAAGAACTCTCTTCTTCACCAAACAAATAATGCCTTGTGTTCCCACATTTGGTATTTGCTGTTTGACGCCCTACAAAGCTTACTTGAAGCCTGAGGAGATACTTGCTGGAAACTTGAAAAGTGAACCATAGACTTCCCCCCACAAGAATTGTCCTGAAGTTGTCCCTTTTAATAGGAGAATTACGAACAAGAGCGTGTGCTGTATAGCTGAGTCTAGATGGACTTGTGGTCCATGCAGAACATCTTCCGTACTTCTGATTTCTTTGCATGCTTTCTGTGACTGGATTCACCCATTCACTCTGAGCTACAGCAGAATAAGTAGGGAAGCCTATGGGGTTGGTATTTGGCTGACCGGATCCGGAACTAGTCTTGAAGCTGTTGATTGCTTGGTTTGAAATATGATGGCTGATCTGCTTTTTCCTCTTCTCTCTGCCCTCAGAGGCCGGAAGAAAAGCGCCATTGGACCTGGGAAATATGGCTATGGAAAAGTTCCCTACATCCTCCCGCTGCAGACGGACACGGGACAATCGGCACATAAGCCCCGAAAGCAACGTCAGTCCATGCAACCTGCACCCAACCAACAAGGGACTGGTGGCATCTCCACTTTTGCCCATCCAGGAAGCCCTTCCCATCATCATCCTGGAGGAACGTACCAAGGTGACCACCGATCTTCTCCAGCCAGGACTCAGGTTGCGAGTAGCTCTTTCTATCAACAGCCAGGGTCCCATTTTCAAGCCTTCCCAGCAGCATCTCAAAGCTTGTTCCAGGGTGGAGAACGGAGCGGGCATCTCCCTAGAGCATCTCATCCGCCCATCCAAGGGCAGATGTCCACTCAGCCGGCTGCCGCAATTGTGTGCACTGGGGCCTACAAGCAATATAGACTCTGCAATACGAACGTAAGTCGTCCTTTCTGCTCCGGCCTTTCCATGCCTTCTGACCAAATCCTTGTTTTGAGCTTAGGAATTTTGCAGAGAAGGAAGGGAGCCACTGGACCAGGGGTGAAATCCAGCAGGTTCTGACAGGTTCTGGAGAACCGGTAGCAGAAATTTTGAGCAGTTTGGAGAACCAGCAAATACCACCTCTGGCTGGTCCCATGGGGCTCCTCTTGCCATCTTACCTGATTTCCAGCTCTGTGTTTAAATATTTTCGGGGTGGGCTTATTTTTGGGGGATGCCTTATTTTCGGGGAAACAGGGTAAGAAGAATAGAGTAGAGTAGAGTAGAGTAAAATAGAGTAAAATAGAATAGAATAGAATAGAATAGAATAGAATAGAATAGAACAGAACAGAACAGAACAGAACAGAACAGAACAGAACAGAACAGAACAGAACAGAACAGAATAGAATTCTTTATTGGCCAATAAGAATAATACCCCAATAAGAATAATACTACAGCTATACTATGTGGGTAAATTTACATAGACCTCAGACAGTACGGTGAGAATTAGGTGTTCAGTAGAGTGATGGCACCAGGTGAAAAAACTGTCCCTGTGTCTAGTTGTTTTGTCACATGATGCTCTATAGCGCCATCCTGAGGGCAGGAGCTGAAATAGCTTATGTCCAGGATGTGAGGGATCTACAGTTATCTTCTCAACCCCTTCTTCTGACCTGTGCAATATATGGATTTTCTATCTGAATATTTATCCAGAGCATTACAAAGTTCCTCATCTTTGGTTTTTTTTTATTTTATTTCATTTTTTCCAAGTGAACACAGCTCCTTTCGGCCTTCACTTCCCCAGCCCTCTTCTTCTTTATTAAAAACATCTTTAAGAAAATAGTTATGGGGCAACCCGTCCTCGATTCAGCTGCTACCCAGTTGGGGGTCATGACCTCACTGTGCCCTAGATGAATAGTTTAAACACCAAATCATAAAAAGAGAAGGAGGTGGGCTCGCCTCGGACCCTGGAAAATCTACTGTGTTTTTCCACCTTCTGCATGATCTCCCAGAACATACATTTAGGCAGTAATTTAATTTATTAGCCGAAATATTTTAAGGGCTCCTGCTAGCATGGAGAGAACACCAAGTTTTTCTTTTATTTGGAACATTCTCTATGGTTAATATAATTAATCGGGGGTGGGGGGTTTCTCTTAATTGGAATTGTAGTGTTGGGTCCCTCCCCCACTCCTTGGATTCTGGTTGGGGCAGTTAATTAATAACAAATTAACTCGATCTGCTTTTCTCCATTAGGTCATTTCCTTGCGGTTATAGTTTTAATGTTTTTTTCATGCAGAGTAGAACTCATTTTTCATGAGTGACAGGTTGGATCATATACAGTTTCAGCTTAGACGGTTTTCGTTTACATGCTTCTGAAAACACATTTAAAGACCGGGGCTTTCTGGAAGGGTGATGGGTTTTTTAAAAAAAATTTAAATGAAGATTAATTGTCCATTGTTTAAGAAACACTTGAAGTTGTATTCGGGCACAGGGCAAGAGCCGTCTGATCAGTCACCAGTTGATAAATGGGACTCAGTGGGATGCTCAACTGGAAGGGGATGGAATAATTAAAGCAAATAAAAGTATCTAGAAAGAGCTGCAAAAATAGATGGAAATGTTGTTGCTTGCCAGATGTGAAGATGTGTCCCTGCAGGGGGAAAAAATTCATCGTGGCACATAGAAGCCTCGGTTGCTGGTTGAGTTCCAGAACAATCTTCAATGGGCGTTAGGATTGTTCATTCATTTCCTCGCTGGATAAAAACAATAAACTTGAGAACCCAAAATGGGACAAACCAAATGCAAATAGACGTGGGACTGTCTTCACCTTCTCACATATAATATCTGGGCTGAGTCTGTGGAGATTCTCCGTCCTCCAGGTAACGGTTGCCCCAAAGATGCTTTTTTTCAAGAGGCAACTGGACTTCGTTGTTTTTCTTTGAAGACGTTTCGCTTCTCACCCAAGAAGCTTCTTCCGCTCTGACTGGAGGAGGATGAGGAATGGAAGGATTTATACTCCTTGCAGACAGCTGGTCATTTGCATCCTTTTAGAGAGAGTCCTTGAGGCCACTTGGAGGTTTTTCTGTGTTCTCAGGGTCACCTGAGTGGTCCAAATTGGTGTGGAGCAGAGGTGGGTTTCAGCAGGTTCTGACCAGTTCTGGAGAACTGGTAGCAGAAATGTTGAGTAGTTTGAAGAACCGGTAGTAAAAATTCTGACTGGCCCAGCCCCCATCTATTTTCTGCCTCCCGAGGCCCAGCTGATCGGGAGGAAATGGAGATTTTACAGTATCCTCCCCCTGCCATGCCCACCATTTAAAGAAATCTATATGTTGGTTTAATTGCATGGAGGTTTTAGGAAGCCACATTCCGATTTTGTGCCGTTTCTCTTTGCGGTTCAGTGTTTGGAAAAGGTGTGTGCTCAGACAGTCAACTTTAGAAGAATATTTGTTTTGTTGAGAGCAGAAGGATTGGCAGAGGCTGTTGTACAATCTTTGAATGTAGAGTTTTTATTTGGAATTTCCTGGTTGATCCATAATGTACTCATTTTAAAGACTTTTCTTATGCTTTTTTTGGAGTTCAACTCAACTCCTGAGCTCCATGTAGGTGCATCCATTTATTTTCTTGGTCACAGAGCAGAAATGATTGAACATTGCCTTATTTTTAGCTTGCCACTTTATCTTATAGCCCCGGAATTCCCTAAAATGGAAATTCAAGGATTAACAAGATCTCATCCTGCTTAGATTTCTTCCCAAACTCACGGTGCTTCTTCCAGATTTTATTTCTCCATGATGGGGTGACACTGAATTCTGAGAAATTGTAGGAGCCCTCAGCTCAAAACCACCACTTCTTTTTAGTAGAATATGTGTGTGCTTGTATTTGTGTTATTATTATACAGAACAATGTGAAATCACAGCTGTCAATTCTTTAGTTGGTGTTGACTTTCATTCTCATCAACTTTTTCCCAAAAATCTTGGATGTCATTATATATTGGTATAATAATACACAGTATGCACAGATGCAAGCAGGAATGGCCATTGGCAATTGACAGATGGAAATTGACAGATTTTCCATCCAATTTGGGGGGTGGGATATGGAATTCAGTTTTATATTTACTTATTTATATTACATTAAAATTTATTTATTATGGTGTGTATTGCATGGTCAGCCAGATGTTCAGGCTGGATTTGGCATTTTTGTCCACCTATCAAGTCCTTCCCAAGGACTTGGGTGAGACAGATGTGGATGTTTGATGGTGTTAAAAATCTCCGCAAAGGACGAGCTGTTAAGCTGTTCCAAGTAAAGCTGCCTTTTGCAATTGACTGATTGGGATTTTGTCAATGCCGATGGTGTTTAAATGGTGCTCCAGATGTTTTGGAATTGTACCCCAAGGTGCCTCTTACTATTGATGCTACCTTTCCTTTCTTTTGCTGCAGTCGTTCTATTTCTATTTGCAAGCCTTTGTACTTGGTGATTTTCTCCAATTCTTTCTCCCCTATTCTGTTGTCTCCATATATTTATATCCATATTAGTAGTAGTTGTTGTCGTAGTAATATTACAGCTTTGTCTGATGCAATTAGCAGAGGAGCCAGAAAGTTACTCCTCAGTAAGTGAAAGCCTTCAGCCTTTCAGCCGGATTTTGTCCAATGGAAATAACGTTTCACTGGTTTCTCTTTGAACCAAGTGTCTCATGCATTACATACGTTTTCTATAAATACGACTTCAGAGACAAGGGATATTTGGATGGGTTTTTAAAAAGCCTATTTTATGAAAGTGTGGCTGTAGCTGGAGAAATAGCCAAGTATGTGACTTTACTGAAAGAATTTGCTCAAAATAACTGTGGCCCCGGGGCTTAGGAGTTTCTCAGAGATGATCAACTAATCTAACAAAGTCATCGCTTCTCCATTATGCTATGAGTAGGGCTCCAGGATAAACAAGGATAGATAATTTTTTCTTTGGTCCGTTTTCCAAATTGATTCTATTTTATTCCATTCATGTTTCATTATTGGCTTTAAATCTGTAGAGATTCTCAGTCATCCAGGCCATGACTGTCCCAAAGGTGTTTTTTCAGAGTTGCTTCCTGAAAAATAAGCACCTTTGGGATAACCATGACCTGGATGACTGAGAATCTCAACTGAGTTTTAGCTGTGCAATTTGGGATGAACACCCTTGGAATTGTGTGGGAGGAGGAAGGGATTTCCAGAGGAAAAATTGCAGGCTGCAGGAAGCAGGAGCACCACTCAGGTGATCCTGAGGACACAGGTGAACCTCCAAGTGCTTCAACAACCCTCCAAAAGGATGCAAAGGAAGACCAGCTGTCTGCAAGGAGTATAAACCATTCCCCACCCTCCAGTCAGAGCTGAAGAAGCTTCTTGGATGAGAAGCGAAACGTCTTCAAAGAAAAAAACAAGAAAGTCCAGTTGGCTGCTGAAAAAGGACCTTTGGGACACTATTGGCTTTGGAGAATCTGGAAAAGGCTGCTCCCTTAATGGATGTAAAACTAATCATAGTTAGGAAGGCTGAGCATTTAACCAATGTTTTAAAAAAGTGTCCTGATTGAAATGGAATTCATTCACACCTTCAATTCCTGGGTGGTTCATTCATGGCAAATGGAAGATAATTTAGGATTTTCTGTTGGATTATTTTAAGTTTTTAAACCAGATGAGCGACCGGTCCTTTAAATAACATGGTTAACGTATCTTTCCCACAATTTATTTAACAGGCCTGCCTTGAGAACAGAAACATCAGAGAGGTACAGTGCGCGTCGTACAACAACAAACCATTTATGGGCCGTTTCTACGAGTGGGAGCCATTTGCTGAAGGTAAGAAGACACACCTCTGGTTTGGTCGAAAACATGCGTCCAACCTCCTTCACTTTTTGTGATGTCGTTCATTGTGGATGGTAGTGATGGATAGGAATATTTAATTATTTCATCTCCCAACTTATTCTCTATCAACTGGGAGTATCTTCATGTTGCAGAACATTGTTGGGTGAAAATTGAAATGAGGACCTTCTTACAAATGGACCTTATCTGTCATGGTTGAACTGGGTCATTCTTGGCCACAGTTTTGTAAATGCCCAAATGGCATAGGGTTGTTTGAATAACAGAAGAACAGAGATGGAAGGGACCTTGGAGGTCTTCTAGTCCAACCCCCTGCTTGAGCAGGAGAGCCTATACCATTTCAGACAAGTGGCTGTCCAGTCTCTTCTTAAAAACCTCCAGGGATGGAGCCCCCACAACCTACGAAGGTTATTCCATTCATTAATTGTTCTCATTGTCAGGAAGTTTCTCCTTAGTTCTAGGTTGCTTCTCTCCTTGATCAGTTTCCATCTATTGCTTCTTGTCCTGCTTTCTGGTGGTTTGGAAAATAAGTTGACCCCCTCCTCTTCTCTGTGGCAGCTCCTCCAATATTGCAACACTGCTATCATGTTACCTCTAGTCCAGTGGTGGGATTCAAATTTTTTTACTACCGGTTCTGTGGGCATGGCTTGGTGGGCGTGGCATGGCTTGGTGGATGTGGCAGGGGAAGAATACTGTAAAATCCCCATTCCCTCCCCACTCCAGGGGAAGGTTACTGTAAAATCCACATTTCCTCCCGATCATCTGGGACTCGGGAGACAGAGAATAAATGGTGGTGGGGCCATTCAGAGGTGGTATTTACCAGTTCTCCGAACTACTCAAAATTTCCACTACCAGTTCTTCAGAACTGGTCAGAACCTGCTGAAACCCACCTCTGCTCTAGTCCTTCTCTTCATCAGACTTGACATACCCAGTTCCCTCAACCGTTCATCCTTCGTTTCAGCCTCCAGCTCCCTAGTCATCTTTGTTGCTGCTGATTGTTGTGAGAAAGGGCACTTCTGCAGAGTTGCCTCTCTTGACCTTCTCCTTTCCAATCAGCTCTTCCTTCAGTTGCTTCCAGGACTCAGAATTCACTTTTCTTTGGGGATGATTCTTTTTATGGTGAGGAACATGAATTTAAGAACCCTGAGCAGCCACTGCAGATTGTGACTGCTACCTGCTCCTTGATGTGACTGTGGAATAGGAGGAGGAGGAAATTCAGAAGGTGGGACCAAGCATGAGGAAGTGTCAACCCCCAGCCTCTGAGGAGACCTCATAGAATTATTTTCATTGCATTTCCCTCAGGAACCGAGCTGAGGTTTTCCTTCGAAAGCTGGTGAAAATGTCTACCTGTAAAAGCATTCCTTGTGACTGCTTTGGCATTTGGAGAATTGCAAGTAGGGTGAATTCCTGCTGTCGAGAGCTGATCTGATTATAAATAAATAATAATAATTCATCCAATTAAATAATAATTAAAATAATAATATGCATTTTTGGATGCAAGCATGATATGGAATTGCGGAGTTTAATCTGGAAGAAAACTATGAACTGTGAGCTGGGTGAAAACCAGTCAGAAAAACACATTTGGAACTTTCCCTTTAAAAATACCCCAAAATTGGGCATTTTTTAAATTTATAGGTGGAACAGACCCAGCTCAGCACAAAATTTAGAGCTTACAACCTCAGTCGGCATTTATTCCCAGGGCTGTCATTTTGAATATGTGCCCTGTATGCACTAACATAACATGGAAATGAATTTTAAAGCCATATAATTTACTTACCAGAACTGTTTCCTTTCCTTTCCTATCCTCTTTCCTAATTTTCCTTGGAGTTTGATGATGAACAAGGCATTTCAGCAAAATAAATAAGGGAAGCCATTCAGAAAGTTTCATCAAAAGGTAGATTCAAAACTGTTTTCCTTTCACCATTGCATACGAGCCAATTCAGGGTTATTCTTATTCAGGCTATAAATTGAAATAATGTCATAAATAATGTTGAAGTCCAGTTATGCCATGCCTTCAGAAATCATGGGCCTACAAGCTCTCATATTCCAAATATTGTCAACAACTATGAAACAGAAGAAGACAACTTGAGACGCCTTTGGCGGGTTCCTGAAGGACTGCCAAAAGTTTGTCTTATATTGCAATTTTATTGTGATAGAAGAGAAGAATGTTAAATCCAATGAAAACTAATCCCATTAGCCATATTTATTTCTCATTAAATTCATCCAGTCGAATTTCTAACCCATTATGTTTTGAAGTATGGTTGCTCCTCAGCAAGATATCCAAAAACCTAAAAGCAATTCTTCGACCAAGAAAATGTAGGGAATTTTTGACAGGCATTCAAGCATACAAATTTGAGATATTTTATTGCTCTCCAAATGGTTAAGAACCCCAATACATTCATGGGGAGCCCTATGGAATAGGAAATAGAAATAGAATAACAGAGTTGGAAGGGGCCTTGGAGGTCTTCTCGTCCAACCATACAGATTAAGGATTTAAGGACAATTAAGAACAATTTAAACACTAAATTTCAGTAAAGTCAAAAGGGTAAAATGTGACTTTGGGTTATTGTGAATACAGTATTTCCATCATAAGGGCAGTGGTGGGATTCAGCCAGTTCGCACCACTTCGGGAGAACCGGTTGTTAACTTTCTGAGCAGTTTGGCAAACTGGTTGTTGGAAGAAATCATTAGGGCAGAGAACCGGTTGTTTATCACATCAAATTTCTCCTCAATTGTGTGCTAAATTTGACAAATATGGAGGCGATAGAATAGAATAGAATTCTTTAGTGGCCGAGGGTGATTGGACACACAAGGAATTTGTCTTGGTGCATACGCTCTCGGAGTATATAAAATAAAAGATACGTTCATCAAGAATCATAAGGTACAACACTTAATGATAGTCAGAGGGAACAAATAAGCAATCAAATCATATTAGGAAACAGTCAATATAAATCGTAAGGATACGAGCAACAAGGTTACAGTCATACAGTCATAAGTGGGAGGAGATGGGTGAGGGGAACAAAGTGAAGATTAATAGTAAGGCAGACTTAGTGAATAGTTTGACGGTGTTGAGGGAATTATTTGTTTAGCAGAGTGATGGTGTTTGGGAAAAAAATGTTCTTGTGTCTAGTTGTTCTGGTGTGCAGTGCTCTATAGCATCATTTTGAAGGTAGGATTTGAAACTGTTTATGTCCAGGATGTGAGGGGTCTGTAGATATTTTCACAGCCCTCTTTTTTGACTCGTGCAGTATACAGGTCCTCAATGGAAGGCAGGTTGATAGTAATTGTTTTTTCTAGTAGAGTCAAATTTCATTTCTTCATTTTTTGGGGGGCAAAATTTGAAAAATGGCGGACTCGCCTCCATTGGAAGTCTTCCAGCAGAAACTGGACAACCGTCTGTCTGATGGTTTATTTTCTCTTCCTGCATCAGATAGGCTTTGGACAAGAGTCTAAATGGCTGAGTTTCAGATGCCACAAAACCTTGTTGCAACATCTGTTTGGGTGTCAATTTTTCAGCCCCCCCCTTCATGCTTTCACTGCATGCGCCTTTTTTCTGTCAACACGTCCGATAATGGCACCAACAAAAGGAACGGAGGAGAAAAGAGCTCTATTTGGCGAGATCCCTCAGCTTCAGGAGAAGGTCCTGAGAAATGTCACCATAAAGTACCTTAAGCGTCGATGATCCAAGGGTTCAACCACCTGTCAACGCGTTCGCTGCCTTTCTCAGCACAATAGCCCTTCTTTCTTCTCTGGTGAGAGCCGTTCGAAGGAAACCTGGCTGGTTGAACTCGTAGACACAAAAAGGTAGACAGCCTTGCATTAATGCAGTCAATTATCATTAATCTCCCAAAGTGATTTATACGTCTGTGTGAAGGGAGGGATGAAACTTTCAAAGGTGCCCTGAAGCAGGCATGAAAGAAACGAAGCTTGATGTCATGCTTTTATGAAATTAATAAAACGCAGTTGGGGAGGGAAGGGATCCTCGTTTTTGCTACTTCTTGGTAATGCATGTGGCTTGTAAGCAAATCCAGAGACAATTGAGGCACAGAAGTTCTCCTGGTGAGAAATCTGTGGGTTGAGAAGGGATGACGGAGGAATTTGTCTGCAATTTGTACTAGGTACGCGAAAGAAATCCTCCATAGGTTTCTATGAGTTGTTGTTGTTAGTTGCGAGGTTGTGTCTGACCCATTGCAACCCCATGGACAACGTTCCTCCAGGCCTTTCTGTCCTCTATCAACCCCGGAGTACATTGAAGCTCACGCCGACTGCTTCAGGGACTCCATCCAGTCACCTTGTTCTCTGTCGTCCTGTTCTTCTTTTTCCCTCAATCATTCCCAGCATGAGGCTCTTCTCCAGTGAGTCCTTCCTTCTCATTAGGTGGCCAAAGTATTTGAGTTTCATCTTTAGGATCTGGCCTTCTAAAGAGCAGTCAGGGTTGATCTCCTCTAGGACTGACCAGTTTGATGGCCTTGCAGTCCAAGGGACTCTCAGGAGTCTCCTCCAGCACCAGAGTTCAAAGGCCTCAATTCTTTGGCCTTCTCAGCCTTCCTTATGGTCCAACTTTCACAGCCATCCATTGCAACTGGGAAAACCATAGCCTCGACTATACGCACTTTTGTTGGCAGGGTGATGTCTCTGCTTTTTAGTATGCTGTCTAGATTTGCCATAGCGTCTTTTAATTTCTTTCTTAAATTCTATGGGTATGCCTTTGCAAGTTCTAGCAGAAGGACCCAGAAGAGGCCAGGAGGATTCTTTTGGATGAAGGCAAACAGCTCAAGAAGCTTATGGATATAAGCATCCAGGAAAAATGAACGTCGAATGATTTAAACACGAGGATAATCTGGAATTGTGCTTTCTCCACATCTGGGATCTTGTGGAGAGCAGTCATGATTTAAGAAGGTCCCTCAATCTCCTCTTTTTGTCCTTTGGCAGCCAAAAAGGTTTTTTTCTTTTTTTAATCAGTATCCCATAAAATGTGT